ACCACAGTCTTGGAAGACTTGGCAAAGAGGGCTGAAAGAGTTCTGCCAGCAGAAACGAGGCAGTTCAATTGAGTAGCCGCCCAACGTCACAATTCTTATCTCCACTACGTGGGGAATGAAGCAATTCCCGCAGAAGGAGACTCTATTTCTTGAATTTCTCCACGAAAGAATGCCAGGTAACGTTATTTTTGTACAAGCGAAGAATAGAATGTATCTGGTCACGAATCATCGGGATGAGAATCGTAGTCTCAAGGTAAGAATCGTAGAGTCTCGAGATTTGGTTACCCAGTAAAGTAGCGTCCTTGCTATGGAAATTTCTGGTGCTAAGGGATGTTTGCAGGTGTTTTTTGCTGGTTGGCTCTTGACTATTTGTAGGTAAGTCTTCCTTGAATGGAAGAACTGGAGGGATTTTGCACTGGCTTTATTGTCAAATATTACATCTAGATAAAGAGAATGTATTCAAATCAGATTCTTTTTGCATTCAGTTGGAGTGCAGATAGTTTACGTATCTCTTTGAGAAATATGTGGAGATGTAATTTTAGGTAGGGTTCATGCAATTTTGAAGAAGTTATGTTGCACAGTAGTGGAAGTGAACTTCCAAGTTATCTTGCACTGAGCACGAAATGCTCTTCTTCCTTTGAAGGAAAGGTTGTCGGAGGAGGAACAACAGTAGTTGAGTTTTTTAACGTTTGTTCAGGTGCCCAGAATGTTTGCAGGTGTTTTTTGGAAGTTGAATTTTTATGAATATTAGGAACTTTTCCTTGATTGGCTGAACTGGAGTCATATCAGACGACTGGCTTTCTTGTCTGGGTGTGTTAACATAACCTTTATTCTGTAAAGCTTTGACCCTTGCTCAATGGGAGAAGTAGGCTGACTTTGAGCTTAGTTTATAATAATCCGAATGGATGCATACAATATTCAACTTTTTCAAACACAATTAACAGGATCTGAAGATCGCTACACATGGGTGTACACGTCAAATGTGATGTTTATTTGTAAAAGAACTCAGGGGGATCGTTTTTTACCTCTTTTCATGGTTAATAACTTTGTTGCTCATTGAAATCTTTTCTGTCGGTTTTGTTGAGACGTGGCTCATCTGCTATTTTGAATAGATTCTCTTCATCTAGAAGTAACATTTGACAATCATGGTTGGCTAAAATCGGTTAGTGTTAAGAAAAACTTCCATGCAGCCAAAAGAAAATGAAAATTAGTTTTCAAGATTATTATGCTTACCTTCATGGGAAATGTCACTGTTGGTAACCATACCTTACATATCTCTTTGACTGGGCCCGTTTATATAATAAATTTGGCAAAAAAGGGGCCAAAAAGAATGTTTTATTTTAGACTTTCTCCTTCGCAGAGGAGTGCGTCTTCTTTTTTCTGCTACATAGCTAAAGACCTAAGCACCCTCAACATGATATAGCATAACATTAAAAGTCTCCTTCCAAAGGCGAAAAAGATTACATTAACTGAAGATATCTTCGATTGTGGGTTTTCTCACTATTTTTAGAGATCGGGCTGATATCATTATTCATTGCATAAATGGTAAGTTCTCACTTTGCATAGTGTCAACTCATGGTATATGAGTCAAGAACCTAGCCTTGGTCCATTTTAGGAAGCAGATGGGGATAAGTAGTTTTTGCACTTTGAGAAAGTAGCCAGCAACCTTAAGTGGCTCAAGGATTACAGGGTAATGTTCTTACAGAGTGTACTAGTTGGTAAAGGAAGGGAAATTTATACACAACTAAGTGTCGAGCAAGCTGCAAATTATGACACTACCAAGGATCTTATTTTAAAGAGTTATGAAATAGTTCCTGAGGCTTAGAGACTGTGAGAAAGTAAGTAGTCAGACTAATGTTGAATTTGTTAGAAGTAAGGAACAGTTCTTTGACTGTTGGTGCCATTCGGAGAGGGTAGATAAGAGTCACGAAAGGTTAAGATAGCTAATTTTAATAGAGGAATCTAAGAGGTGCATTCACATTGATTTCAGAACGTTTATTGGAGTGCAAAAGGCATAAATATTAGAGGAAGGTGCACTATTAGCGGATGAGCTTTAGTTGAGCCACAAAGTGAACTTCATGGTGAACCCCATCAGCTTCACACTCCACCCGCTAGACTTCCGTCTCCTTCAGTACCACGGTGGCTTGGAAACCAGAGAAGTCGGGAAAATGACGAGGTAGTTCTAATACTCAAACCAGGTAGTTCTAATGGTCAAACTAGTTTTAGTTAATCCACTGCAAAACCTGCACAATTTAGCTAAATTGGTTCGAAAAGTTAAAAAATTTAAACAAGCTTATTTTGTTTTAATGGTCAAATGGTCAAACCAGCGAAAGCAGTTTAACTGCAGATATTGCACAATCTTTCTCCACTAGACAAAGTATTTTATATGCTCTAACCTACTGGACAATATGCGCAACTATTTTAATAGCTTGACCTGCAAAACTGCACAATCAAGCTTTGATGGATCGACTGGTTAGTTGGTCGAACTAGGAAAGACAGTCGAACGGTAAAAAGGCACAATCTATTTCCAATGGTCAAATTTGCTTCAATTATTCAATTGCACAGCCTGCACAATCTAGCTGAATTGGTTCAAGTAGTTTAAATCGTGAAAATAACTTAATTGGCTCAACTGGTTAAACAGTCAACGCAGCGAGGACTAGTAAGTAAGTAAGTAAGTTTATTAAATCTCCATCCAGTGGCTCTTCCGATTTAATTCACAATAATTGGAAATCGAATAAAACTACCTATAAAAGTTACAATAATATCATGATAAAGAAACAAATACAAATAAATAACTAACAGTGATTGCTCTATAACTAAAAGACCTCTGTGCTGTGGCTGTCCTACAAAAGGGTACAACTAAGTTGTCTCTAGATCTAGTATTGTAGCTGTGGATAGCTGATCTTTTGTTGACGTAACACTCTAAATATGGTGGTGCAAGGCAATTGACTATTTTGTATAGCATTGTAACATCACGCACTAATAATTGGTTCTTAATAGAAGGCCAACACAGTGCCCGCAGCACTGGTGAGATGTGATCAAACTTCTTGCTGCTTGTCAACACACGGGCAGCAAAGTTTTGTACAAGTTGCAATTTTTTTTATGTTGTGCGCAAACGTTCCAGACCAAACGGTCGAGCAATAAAAGAGTTTAGACTAATTTAGTTTAAACTAGACAATTCAGAATGGTGGTAAGTACTGATTTGGAAAACAAGTGCCTAGCTCTGCTTATCTGGCATAGGGTAGAAATAAGAGACGAGGTCAGGGTGTTAACATGTTCATTAAAAGTAAGGTTCGAGTCCAATATTATACCCAGGTCTTTGACTGAGCACACAGGAATTAAGTGTTGCCTAAGAAAGGGGACTCTGATATCAGGAACCCCACTTAAAAGCTGTTTCGTTCCAAAAAGAATAAGTTTAGTTTTGTCTGGATTAATAAGCAACTTATTCGTACAGCACCAGAAGGCAATAAGTCGGAGATCTTCCGAGACTTTTGCAGGGCAGGAGTCAATATTATTCGATGAACATGAAAGATAAACCTTTGTGTCATCAACATGTGACTCTAGGCTTGAAGACTTAACAACGGACGGTAGGTCGTTCATGTAAAGGCCGAACATAAAAGGCCATAGAATGGACCCCTGTGGTACGCCATGTGTGACAGTTAACTCACTAGAGCGAGATGTACCGAGTCGTGTTGACTGCATTCGGTTTGTAAGATAGCTCTCAAACCACTTTGACGCTTCATTTGACGCACCGAGCCCTTTCAGCTTGGTGAGGAGAGTTCTATGATATATGTTGTCAAAAGCCTTGCTCAAGTCGATTAGGACCATAGCCGTGATCTTCTTTTTATCCATTGCTTTACATATATGACCGGTGACAAGTAAACTCAGTGTTTCCAGGGGTGGATCCAGGATTTTGAGTGAGTAGTTTCCACCCGAGGACCCACTCCTGCTAGGGGGGTTCGGGGGCATGCCCCCCCGAGAAAATTTGAAATTTGGAGCTCTCTAAAGGCCATTTCATGCATTTTTAGAAAATTTAATTGCCCCCAAAAGACTAAAAAAGCATGTAATCAAAAAGGCAAAAAACATTTATTTTTCTTGAAAGTACTACAGGAAACACTCTGATCTACAAATATTCCACCTTTAGCTACTGTGCAAACCAGTGTATATAGTGTTTTCAGGAAGGCCAAGTCATCACCAAGACTTTTCACACTGGAAAACATCACCTCCCAGTCAGGAAAATCAAGATGTGGAGAAAAAAAAACGAACCAAGTGTTAGTGTTTTTGATAACAAAAGAAAAACAAGCACAATTGATGATATAGTTTAAAGATTGATAATAAAAATCTACTTGCCTTTTTCATCCTTGGGACCACAGGCTTACCATCCATAAAGCCCTTCTCTCTCTCAAATTTCTTCTGTGTTGTGCTCCTATAATGAATGAAATGAATGAAAGCCAGGCTCAATAAATCCAAATGTTTAGCAACACTAAAAACAACATTTCCTGAGCTGGCTTTTATTCATTTCATTTATAGGAGCACAACACAGAAAAGAATTTGAGAGAGAGAAGGGCTTTATGGATGGTTAGCCTGTGTTGGGAGCTGGAATTCAAAAAATAAAACAATTATTAGAAAAATATAAATTATAAGAATCATAAAATGATATACAAATTGAAGTAAAATGATAATTTGAAATAATACTAGCCTTTCTTCATCCTTGGGAATTGCTGTGAAGCTGGCTGAGTTCAGTGAAAATGTTTGTTAACCATTTAAGCTTAACATGAAAACCCAATGTCAATGTCAATGGAAAATCATCACAAGTAAAACAAAATAGAAAATAACCTTGAAATGAGTTGAAAAAAGTTATACATCACCATCAGTTTAAGGATTATGAGACTTAAAGGCCATAACCCAGACAGAACATAACTCACAAGTACTCTAGAAACAGCTGGTGCAAAAAATTATTACAAAATGTTTGCCATTCTCATTCTCCTAGGATGTAACTCAGCAAATAAATCTATTATACGTTCAAGGTCAAAATCCATGTCTCTGTGGGCATGCATCAGTGCCAATCCATTCAGTCTGTCCTGGGTCATTGTATTTCTCAAATAGTTCTTAAGATTCCGAAGGGATGATATGGATCTCTCACAAGATGCAGATGAAATTGGAATTGTGATCAGGACTTTCAGCATGGAATAGATGTTGACATATGCATCTTTGTCAATATCCTTCATTGTAGCCTCCAAACTGTCAGGAATAATATCTCCTCTGTTATCCCTCCCCTTCCACAATCTCTCCCATAACAAAAGCTCTGCCTGTAATCCTGCATAATTTGTTATGTCCTGTCTGTAATGGTTACAAAATTCCAAAACATTGGCCTTCCAGGCAGGGTCAGTAGCTAGTAAAACAGAGGGAATAATCGAAATACCTTTATAGCAAACAAATACATCATCCTGGAATCTGGTGTTGAGCTGCTGGAGTACATGGTCAAGAAAAACTCTAGTGAGATTGATCTTGAAATACCCCTCAGGAGTTGCAGCAGGAGCATTATTTCTATGCATTTGTCTCTGGGCTATCCTTGGCATTTCTGGCTGGACTGCTACTTGTCTTGCAATGGTCACTGCTTCCTGGTAGAGATTATGATGTCTGTTATCAATGTCAGTGCTCATGTCTTCAAGGACTGATTTCAAAAGAGCAAGTTCATCTTTAGCTTTTAGAAGATCCATTGCTTTTTGTTGCAGCTTCACTGTGAGTGGTCTAGTTAATCCCAAAATATGTCTGACAATAACAAGAGAAACAATAAAGGAAAAGTTGATTGCATTAATTAAGGACTGAGCATCATGTCTGCTTGTTGGATTCCAGGTTGAGTCTCCAGGGCTGTTTCTGTTAAGTGAGATGTCTTCAAGTGTAGCTGTGACTGGGTAGAGAAGTTCAACTATGCGGTCCATTCCATCAATCCGTTCAATCCATTGTGTGCGGCACACATCAATTAAAACAGTATGGTTTGCCCGAGGCAATAGTTCTCTGATCTTGGCTATTAAATGTTATTGACGCTTGGGAGAGTTGTTAAAAAAATTAGAAATCTTGCGCACAATATCCATCATGTTCCTGACAATTGGCAATTGGCAAGTGTCTGCTATGCACAAATTAAGCCTGTGGTTCATGCAGTGGACATAGATTGCCTTTTCGTGTTCTGCACTGATCAATGAGGAGGCTCCATTTAGTCTTCCAGCCATATTGCCTGCACCATCATAACACTGCCCACGACAGTCTTCCATTTTCAATCCTAAGTTTGCTACAGCTGCAGTTATAATGTCCTTGATAGCCTCCCCTGTTAATCCCTCCTCACAAATGTAATACCCAATAAATTCTTCTCGGATGGTTTTAGTTGTATCCAGAAATCTTATTACTACAGAAACATTCTCCTTATTTGAAATGTCAGCAGCTTCATCTGCCATAACTGAAAAATACTTACTATTTCTTATTTCCTGTGATAGATCATTCAAAATGTGAGCACCAACAGTTTCTATCATTTCATTCTGAATGGTCTTTGAAATGTATGTGGCATTTCTGGGTGCAGTGTCCAGGTGTTGCTGCAGTGTTTGGTCACCACTGTCTACCCGGAATTCTAGCAATGCCTGGAAATTACCGGTTAGGGCAGCATTAGTGGGATCATCGTCTCTCTGCCCACTGAGTGGGATGTTGTTTTTCCCACAGAAAATAATAGTTTTGAAAAGGGACTTTAGAATCTCCCGATTTCTCGCGATTTGCTGTTGAACTATGTTATTTAACTGCTGGTCAATTGGGACAGCTCCTCTTTGCATCATTCTCTTGAAATCATTCATAGCAGTCATAGAAAAATTGTGAATTTCACAATTTCCTAGCGAGTGTTTGGTTAAGCGAGAAGCGGCCGAAGTCCAATTTGTGAGAGGAGACTTCAATAATTTGTCTAACTTATTAGCGTTTCGCCCACACTGAACTCCAAAACAAACACAAGCTAAACAAAATGCTCCATCGAAATATTTGGAGTAAGCTAGCCATGGAAATCTTTTCAGCCAGCCCGAGACAAACTTACGAGATTTTCCATTTTCCATTGACACGGGGAAATCAAAAAGCTCACCTGGTTTCCACACGTTTTCGACGAACTCCAGCTTCTGATGCGGCGAGTAGTTGTGGATCTCGTTGAAAACTAGGCCAATGTCGAAGGGAGAACAATCCTCCCTCCGACAAACAGGATCTCCGCGAGTCATAACACTAGTATTTTTTAAACGTTTAACAGTAAATTGTTATTCCGTCGTTAACCCCTGAGCAAGTTCAAAAGTACTTGTATTGTAGGAGCAACGAAAGAGACCCGCTGGGGGAGGAACTGCCCCTTTTATACTTTGTCAGTAGTTTCCAAGGTAGTTTCCAAACACAACTAGCCAATCAGAAGAGTGTTTTGAGTGAGTTCCGATGACGAAATCTTTGCTAGCCAATCGTGAGGGGTTTTGACTGTGTTCCGCCTGTTATTGTCACCAAATAACAAGGACTTACACCCACCGGTTGCATAAAGATTGGCTCCACGAACATTTTCCGACGGCTTCCGACGGTTTCCGAGGTGTAATCGAAGCTCGAAAGGCCAGCGCGTGATCCGGAGCGCTCCCGAACGCCTCATGACCGCAATTATAACGAAATTAGTCATTCTAAACGTATTTTCTTTAATAAATAACTGTAAAACAGGAAGATGGTTTATTTCTGGAAGACGTTTAGTGATTTCCACAAAAGTATCAGTAGTTTCCAAAGGGAAATTAGAGTGTTTTCCAAAAGTACTTTTATCAACATTTAACTAGGTCGGAAAAAATTTGAGTGAGTTCCGGAAATCAGGTAAACTACCCTGGATCCACCCCTGGTTTCAGTAGAAAGGTGTTTACGGTTTCCGCTTTGATGACAGGTGAGGTTGCCTTGTTGAATCAAATAATCAGTGAACTGATTCAGGGCGATCTTTTCGGCCACTTTAGAAAGTACAGGCAATAATGAAATAGGGCGATTATCACTAGGAATCACGTGATCACCATCTTTAAGATGTGGCACTACTTCCGACTTCTTCCAGGCCTTAGGGAAAACAGAGTTGCAGAAAGAAGAGTTTACCAATGCAGTTAGAATTGGTAAAATATATGGTAAACAGTCCTTGATCACAAACACTGGAATTCTGTCATAGCCTGGAGCCTTATTAGAAGGCATAGCCATGATCACTTTTCGCACATCTTCACTGGTTATTGCTTTGAAGTCGAACAGTTCATCACAATGAGTTGAATCGAGATAAACAGGAGTAGTTGGTAGGCCTTGAAGGCGAGCGAGCTCCGCAGAGTCATCGGTGGCCTTCTGTCCCACAGATATAAAGAAGCGATTGAATTCATTAGCGAGTGCATCTGTGTCCTTGGTAAAGCTTGAGCGACCTGATTTATTTGGGAGGGCACTGCGAATAGTTTTCCACATTGCCCCATTGTTGTTCTTATTTTCACAGATTTGATGATTGTAGTGCCCTCGTTCCGCCTTCCGTAAAACAAATTTAACTCTATTTTGAAGCTCCTTAAAAGCCTCCCAATCTTCCCTCGTCCCAGTCCTTCTTACTCTTTTGTGTAGGTGGTCTCTCGCCTTCATCAAATTCCTTATGTCCTCCGTGATGAATGGGTTTGGTTCATGTCGCATTTTCACTGTTTTAACCGGAGCATGGTCGTCCAGACACGCCAACAGCAAGTTATTAAATGCATCGAGTCTGTTATCAACGGATTTGTCTATCAGGTTCATAGTATCCCATGGGATGTGCGCGATGTCATTTGCAAACTGATCGGCTTTATAATTCCGAAAACTACGTGTGACAATGTAGGTTGGAGCTTGCTTGGGTGATCTTAAGTTAATAACGGCATGAACCAGAAAATGATCACTTATAGTTATTTCAAGAACACCGCTTGACAAGGACAGGGTCAGAGACCAAGATGACATCCAATAAGGAGCGTGAGTTCTCAGTCACGCGAGTTGGCTTGTCTATAAGCTGTGTCGCATTTACAGTTGCACAAAACGATAGAAGGAAACGTTTTTGAAAGAAGGTCACAGTTTAAGTCCCCTGTTAGCACAATGTCCTTGTTGCGTGATAACGCTTCGATGTACTTTGGGAGCAGTTCATTCTCTAGGCATGCAGTTCCAATTTCTGGGGGTCTGTAAACAATACAAACCAGCAATGAACGAAGCTTCTTATTTTGAACTTGAATCCACAACTGGTGTAGGCCGGATTCGGATATTTCCGTGAGATCCTTCTGGACATTTACCTTCAGAGTAGATTTTACGCAAGCACATACACCGGCACCTGCTTTTCCAAGGCGATCAAGTCTAAAGACCTTGTATCCTGGGATTTCGACAACACTGTTGGTCACGGAAGAGTTAAACCAGGTCTCCGAGATGGTTAACATATCAAAATCACGTTCCAAGGCTAACTCCTTCGTCTCAGTGAAGTGTTGTTTACATTTGAGAAGCTCTGCGTTAAGATGGGCTATTTCCAAGAGCTTGTTTTGGTTTTTATGAACCGTCGATTGTGCATTCTTTGTCAATTGTATTCTATTACAATTTGCACTCACGTGTCTAACTGAGTCAGGGATGCGACGAGTCTGTCGATTCCCATGAATAACAGCAATCCTACTGCTAGTGGTATCTGGACCTGGTAATGGATGGATGTCGCCACTTAGTGAAATACACAGTTTCATAAAGTTAAAACCAACACAAGAGTTAGGATAATATGAACTTCTTTGTTTAAAATATTTTCGCCGCGGATCAGTGAATCGGCACGTTAAGCGACCGCACCGCCAAAGAGAAACAAAAGGCTCAGAAGTGGTATTTTTAACCCTTACAAAGGATGGCCGTTCACAAGGCAGATTTCCACGGGCGAAGCTAATCCATAACTCATCTGAATTGCAAAAACCTCCATAAGCATGTCTGGTAAGCGAAGAGTAGATCGAAATAACACTTCTTTCTTGAATATACTGCGCAAAGCCTCTAGAAAACTCCGGTCCACGACGTCCTACAATGTTCCCATAGGTGTTAAGATCAGTCTGTCTACATAACGTACAGCTTGAGACGAGAAACTAGGTCAAAAGTGGAGAGCACAAAAGGCCGTGTCTAGCAGTCATTATGCTAATGCTTATGCCTAGGACAGTTCAACTGCACAAATTGCAAAATCTATGTAAAGTCGTTGAGGTCGTCATAGTTGTCAAAGTAGCGTAATAGTTTTAATAGCAAAAAAATGCACAATCTAGCCTGAATGATTCAACCGGTAGTCAAAGCTCTTACAGCTATCAATCAGGATGTAGGTTAACAAAGCACATCTAGCAGTGTTAATAGCACTGTATCCTACACCAGTATGGTGCAACTCAGTTAAGAAGCTCACCCCTGTTTCAACACAAGCTGAAAAGGGATCCAGTTTTCCATCTCTTAATGTAAAGTTCATACTCCTTTCTTATACTGTTTCGCAACGAGCCTATGACCAGGGCTGTAGCTTGCTATGATAGTCCCTGACTCTCGAGAAGTTCCCAGATACATGACATAAGAGCACTACTAGCTTTGGGTGTAGTGGATGAACTAAGTCTGGTTGACTGGGCCCAAAGGAGGGAAGGCATAAAATAAATATGATTCTCACGATAACGTGAATGCATCTATTGCAAAAGTTTCAGGGTCAGGTTGGTATGCCACAAATGGTTTCACTTTGTAGTCTAGCCCGGCAGCAAAAAGGTCAATGTTAGGTTTAATACCTAATTTTGGTTACTGCATTACAATACACCCTTTGGATTAGATCCCACTCTGTTCCTGCATTTGTATTTCTGGATTCTCTGTCAGCAAAAACATTCAACTTCCTTGAGATGTGGGCTGTAGATAGCCATATTTTATGATCAATACACCAGTCCCATATAAGGCGGGCTAAATTGTTACAAAATGGCGAGTGACTTCTGCCCTGTGTGCAAGTGTTGTGATAGCTGTAGTGTTGTCAATCATCACTCGAATATGTTTGCCTTCAATATATACACGAAAGGCTTTCAAGACAAAGTGCACAACTAGCATCTCAAGGTAATTGGTGTGATGGAGAGCTTCACTGGGCTCCAAGCACCCTTAGATGTGGTGCTGCCCAGCACGGCTCCCCGCCCATACGACGATGTATCTGTGAATATAGTAATCTCTTGTTGCCAACGTTGTACAATATTATATGCACCAGGCACTATGCACCGAGTCTCGCCACCAATTAATGTCAGCTAATGAGGTATCTGTAAGCTGCATGCAAACATCAAAGTTCCCTTTAGCATGCTCTAAAGCACTCGTTTTATCCCTACCGGGCGGTCTAAAGTGTAAAGGGCCATATATGACAGTTGGGGAGCTGGCTGTCATAAGCCCTTATCGAAAGGTTGCTACAGGCAAGTGTTTTCTCACATGCATATTTAAGTGTCTGTGCTTTTTCCTGGGTCAGGTAAATTTTAATTTCTATTGAGTCAAGAACAAAACCCAAATAGGTGATTCTCTGTGATGGCACAAGTACAGATTTTAAGTTGTGGATTACAAACCTTAATGAATCAAACAATGTTATGGTGGCTATGACATTAGTGGCACAGTCATTGAGGTCATCGCCTTGAAGGTATGAATCATATATATAAGAGAATGATAAGTGACCGGACTGCCTTAAAGTAGCATGAACTGGCTTTAATAGTTTTGTAAATTTCCGCGGGCAGGAAGCCAGTCCATTGGGAAAACATCTAAGTTGGTAAAGCTGACCCATCTATTCAAACTTGAAGTATTTTTCATCACAATAGCGAGTTGGCACTGAACCATAGGCATCTTTTAGGTCGACCGAGGCCTTATAGCAGTTTGGCGTCATCAAATTTATGGCTGACCTCAGGGTGTCTGTTTTAAAATGTTGATATTCAACATGTATGTTAGGTCGTTTCAGATTGAGGATTAGCCGAAAAGAGCCATCCATTTTGGGCCTGATCAAAATGGAAGATATAAACTCTCCTTTCTCTTGCCCTCTGGCTATAATGACACCTTTTTGTAGAAGTTTTTCAATTTTAGTGTTAATTACACTCATGATTTCAGATTGTTTTATACACTGTGATGGAGGTTCCTTTTGAAAAGGTATCGAATGATATTCAGTATGTTTGCCCTAAATCATAGACAGTATCTCCTGGTCAGAAGTGATTAGTTTCCAATTGTTTAAATCAGCCAGTTGACCAGCTTTAGAGCAGTCTGCTCACAAAGTAAAAAAATGTGTAAGAGTAGGTATAAGAGAGACAAAACTGTCTATATCTACCTGACCAAGTAAATCTCTCAGTGAACATTTTGTAACTGCTTCTTTTCTCCCACTGTTTTTTCTGGCTGTAATGGATTTTCTTCCCCCTCTGGCCAAAAAGGGCATTCCACTTTTGTTGTTATTGCCAGGTTTGTCATGAAAGCAGCGACTAGAAGCACTGGCTGCAAGGTTGCTAATTTTGATCGAAGCCTTGATACTGTTGAGTTGGGATTGGAGTTCATCTTCAAATAATTTCCTAGAGATTGGAATGTGGGCTGAACACATGGCGCTATACGCCTTGTCCAGGCAAGGCCTGATTAAATCACAACGGTGCTGGAACAAGCTCTGATCACTGTGAGCCAACAGTGCAATAGCACCTGTACTGAAGGCTTGGAGTTCCTCCAGAATCGAGGTGATATTGGAGTTTTTCGAATCAGCAAGTGTAGCTATAATTTTGCTTGCTAAGCCCGTCAAAATAGCCCCAACTTTAGTGACTGCCTTCTGAATGTCCGCTACGTGGAGATCCCTCCGTTTAGCCTGATTAGCAAGCTTGTCCCAAATTTCAGAGTTCACTGTTGGTACGACGACCTTATCTCAGTTTGATGGGCGGACATATTTTTTAAGTTTCTCATTGTACTTCCCGTCACCAAGTTTACCGTAGAAACGTTTGTGCAGACCATATCTTGCCTTTTATCCTTCTCTGGATATTTACTCAAATAACATAGTCACTATCAGTCTCTCTCACTCTCACTTTCCACTGAGCTTGTGGAAAGATGATAACCTCAGTATTTTTTTTAATGAAGAAAGAAAAGCCTGCCCCCTTACCATAGATAGTTCTTTTGTGCATACCTAGTCTTGTTTGTACATGAAGTTGATTGTTCAAGGTAGGCTAACCTAATATATTAGTCGTGAAAATTTCTTTGTTTGACTCAGTTTTACCTGACCAACCTAAGCTAAATAAACAGAAACTTAAAATTTATTTCTTCTCGTTTTGAGGTGTACATCAAAATTATGAAGTCATGGCAAGCTTGAACTACAGGGCTATCAGAAATCTGCATGTGTGCGTGTTTTCAACATATAAAACCGGTATAAAGGTTGCTTAGCCTTTTTCATTAGTAAACATTCCTTTTTCTAAGAATCTTGTTTATGTGGCCTATGCTGAGTTCTAATTTTGCAAGATAATTCTACATTCTATTGAATATTTTTAGATCTCCTTGTATAAGTCAATATTCACGTAATTAGAATAATTACATGAAATCTTGCAGACGCTTGGTACATTTTCCACTTATCTTACTGACATTTCATCATGTGTAGATTTTGGTATTGGCTATAAAAGTATATTTAAATTAAATATTTGTGCACCGCCAATGCATCAAATATATGTGATAAAGTATTGTATCCTTCTTAAAACTAGTTTATCATAATAAGAATGAGTTACCAGGCATATATGGCTTTCACGATGATAAAACCTTGTCTTGAGCAATGTAAAGCTAAAGTCAGTGTGATTAGCTGCAAAAAGGCAGGAAACCCTTATGTCAATGCGATAACCATGAAAACTGTTAACTTGGCGGCAAAAAAAGTTTTCGTTGCAATAAAGCTGAAAACAGCGTAGTTTCGTTACAAAAAGGCGAAAAACGCTTTTCTTGGAGAGATGAAGCTGATAGCAGCATAATTTAGCTACAAGCATGCTTTTTACGCCATAAATTTCAACAGCGTAATTTTGCAACAAAGATGCAAAAACGTCGTTTAGAGTAAGATATAGCTAAAATAAGTGAGACTAGCTGCAAACAAGCAAAACACCTTTTCCCGGTGCGATAACGTTGAAAAAAGTGTACCTTAGTGACAAACAAACAAAAACATGTTTTCATTGAGATAAGGCGGAAGAACCGGAATTTAGCTGCATAGAAGCTTTAAACTTATTCTTTAGTGAGATAAAACTGAAACAGCGTACACTAGCGCAAAATCAAACGATAACATGCTTTGAGTACAATAAATTGAAAACAGCATAGTTTAGCAACAGAAAATCAAAAACCTTGCATTCCGTGAGATAAAGCTCAGAACAGCCCAATTTAGTTCTATACAAATGAAGACCAGTTTTTGGAGCAGAAAAGCTGAGAAAAGCTTAATTTAACCCCAAAAATCCTAAAAACCTTGTTTTGAGAGAAACAAGAGCAAAATCAACCTTACTAGCTGGTAACAGACAGAAAAAATTTCTACGGTGTGATAAGTCTGAAAGCTGCGTTATTTAGCGGGAAACCAACCAACACGTGTTTTCTTTGAGATAAAGCTAAAAGCGATGCAATTAAGTTGCAGAGAAGCTTTAAACTTATTTTTCAGGGAGATAAAGCTGAAAACAGCGTAATTTAGAGCAAAACCAAACGAAAACATGCTTCCAGTGCACTGAGGCTGAAAACAACATAGTTTGGCCTTAAAATCGGAAAACCTGTTATTTTGAGTGAGACAAGCTGCAAGCAGGCAGAAAACCGAGGCAATGACAGTTTGAATCCACAAGTTGCACAACGCATCTTAGTTGGTTGAAGAAATTCAAATGGTCAAATGGTTCAAGCAAAGAAAATGTACAACTAGCTTAACAAAATGAACTGCACAGGCTGCAAAAGCAAGCTTAAGCCATTCAACTGGTTGAGAAGACCAACAAGGGAAGAGAAATGAACTGCCCAAATTGATTTATCTATCTTAGTCGGTTGAAGTACTTTACATCGAGAAACTAGCTTAAATGGTTCAACTGGTCAAATGTCGAGCTAGCGAAAACAACCGAAGTGCACAAGTTCCAAAATCTATCTTAATTGGTTGAAATAATCTAAATGGTCAAGCGAAACTAAATGGTTCAACTGCACAAAATGAATAAGTAGCTTAATTTGTTTAACTGCACAAACTGCACAATAAAGCTGCATAGGTTAGAGTTATGATTGTCAAACTGATGTAATGGGCTGAGCTTGTTAAGGGGTCAAACTATCGAACACAGTTAACCTGCAGAGGTTCTGTAATCTATCTTAATTGGTTGAGATCATCAAAATGGTAAGACTAACTTAATCGGTTCAACTGCACAAACTGCAAAATCTAGCTTAAACGGTTAAACTGGTGAAATACTCAACCCAGCAAAAACAGGTACAAATTGCATAATCTATCTTAATTTGTTGAGATAGCTCGTATGGTCCAAATAACTGAACAAAATGCATAGGTAGCTTAGTAGGTTCACGTTCAGAAACTGCACATTGTAGCTTAAATGGTCCAACTGGTTAAATAGTCAAGCTAGCAAGTAAAATGAAACTGTACATATAGAACTGTATACAATACAGTAAGAGGTAACCTCTTAATTTCTTGAAGTAGTTCAAATGGTCAAGGTAGCTTCACTCTTTAAACTGCAAAATCTACCTGAATTGGTTCAAGTAGTTCAGGTGGTTCAAGTACCGGAAGGACCTTTAAAGCATAGCAGATGAGACCCCTTTGGCTGGCCACCTGGGTTTCAACAAAACCTGGTGGAAGATCCTAGACCATTTCTAATGACCCAGTCTAAGAAAAGGTTTAGTGGCATACTGCAAACCATGTCACACCTCTCAGATGCTTTGGAAATCTAGTAAAACCATTCCAAAACTACCATTACAACCACTGCCAGCCATTGAAGACGCATTCGATAGAATCATTGTTGATTGTGTAGGACCTCCATCCAAGAAGAGGTCTGGAAACAAGTATTTGTTGACCTCTATGTGTGCATCTAGCAGATTTCCTAAAGGCGTGCCCTTGAAAAATAACAAAGCAAAGGTTACAGTCAGAGCTTAAACCAGGCTCTTTACACAGGCAGGTGTTCTAAGTTCTATCCAGTCTGACCAAGGTTCCAATTTTATGTCTAGCACATTTCAACACGCCTTGCACGAGCTTAAAGTCACATAGAATAGGTCATCTGTGTGTGACCCTCAAAGTCAAGGAGATCTCGAAAGATGGCACCAAACACTAAAGAACATGATGAGGATGTACTGTTTCGAAACAGAGAAAGATTGGGACGATGGTATCCATCTACTACTATTTGCTGCAGGCGAGTCATTACAGGAATCTCTGGGATTCAGTCCAATCGAGCTTGTATTTGGACACATTGTGAGAGCTCTTCTTAAACTGCCGAAAGAGAACCTACTATCTAGCAGTACTGAGTCTAATTAATCTCTTAAAGTATGTTTCAGATCTCCCCCTTAAGCTTTTTAGAGCTTGTGACTTAGCTAAAGCTAATCTTAGTTCTACTGAGAGGTCTAGGAAAGAGAAGCATGATGTAGATGCTGTATAACGCGACTTCAAGCCAGGTGAAAAGGCTCTTGCATTGCTTCCAGTGCCTGGACTTAATTGCAGATTTTCTGGTCCTTATGTCATTGAGAAGAACTTAAATGACCTCAATTATGTTATAGTCACCACGGATAGGCGTAGGCAGACACAGTTATGTAATGTAAATAATGTTAAAGCCTTATGTAGAGAGAAGTAGTAATTCAGTTAAAGAGCTTGCAAATGCTAATGTAGTTGGTTCTGAGCCCAAAGAAATAAGTGGTGAACTTAGCAGTAGTCATCTTAGTTTCACTTACACTACAAAACTTACAAACTCCAGTGTGCTGCGGAACTTGGACTCTCGGCTGTCCCACCTGGAAGAGATCAACGCCAGGCCCTAAGGAAGTTATTGGAAGAGAATGATG